CATCTGGCTTTGGTAGCGTCCAGAGCTCTCGGATCAAGAAGATTGTGTTGCTGTGAGCTTTTTAAAGCGTCGGCTTGGCTTCGATCTCTCGGTCAGAGTCGCTTCTGTCAGACTGGAGCAGAGACCGCGGTCATTCGTGTTCCCCGGTACCTGCAGAGACGCGTTGAAAACGTGAAGGAAATTCGAAGCAAAAGCAAGATCAACACCATCAAAGCTGGAAAGCTCCTCATCCAGAGCAAGAACCCAGCTCTGAACCAGTCTGCCGGATACATCCTGGGAAAATTCGAGCAGCCTTCTCTTTGCTCTAAAGGATGGAAACATAACAAATCATTCGGTGACTATTTCAGCATCAACAACGTCAAGGCTGTTGCACCTTACGTTGCTGAAAACGGGAATGAGGACGCTGGACAGAAAGCGCTAGCCACTTTTAATAATCTCCACATCTGCAAGGAGCTGGTGGAGACTTTAGAGACTCTCAGTATTAAACATCCCACCACTGTGCAGCTGCAGACCATCCCCAAAGTCATGAGAGGTCACAATGTACTCTGTGCTGCTGAGACTGGCAGTGGGAAGACGCTGAGTTATCTCCTACCTGTTATTCACAGACTGCAGGCTGATAGGGAGTCTGAGAGTTACTCTGAGGGTGCACACAAGATATGCTCTGTGGTTCTTGTGCCTTCAAGAGAGCTGGCAGAGCAAGTGGCAGCTGTGTCCAGGACTCTGTGTGCGCCATTTGGTTTCGTTACAAGGACCGTTGGAGGAGGACGAGGTGTGGGACACATCAAGACAGTCTTCAGGAGGGATCATCCCGATATTTTAGTGGCTACGCCAGGTGCTCTGGTCAAGGCCCTGCGGAGGCGTTGTCTGGATTTGAGTGAGCTGAGGTTCTTTGTGGTTGATGAGGCTGACACAATGTTCGACCCCAGCTTTTCTGACATGCTGGAGAACATCCTGCTCCACGTCAACGTTGCTAGTGATCCCAAGGAAACACGTGGCCTGGGTCACAAAGCACAGCTCCTCGTGGTTGGGGCAACCTTCCCAGGCGGTGTGGGCGACGTGCTCAGCAAGGTGACAGATCTTGGAAAAATAGTTATTATTAGGAGCAAGATGCTGCACTTTCTTATGCCCCATGTTAAACAGACATTCCTGAAGGTAAAAGGTGCCGACAAGATCCTAGAGCTCCACCAAGCTCTGAAGCTGCTGCAGCAAGACAGAGGTGGAGGCGCAGTTCTGGTGTTCTGCAACAAGTCTTCCACCGCCAACTGGGTTGGATACTCGCTTGAAGAGATGGGGGTAAAGCATGCACGTCTCCAAGGGGAGATGCCTGCTGCTGTGCGTGCAGGAATCTTCCATTCCTTTCAGAAGGGCAACGTAGATGTGCTGATATGCACGGACATTGCCTCACGTGGCCTGGACACATCCAGAGTGCGCTTGGTGGTCAACTACGACTTCCCAGAATCCCACACGGACTATATCCACCGAGCAGGCAGAGTAGGGAGAGCAGGTGGTGTAGAGGATGGGGAGGTGCTCAGCTTTGTCACCCATCCCTGGGATGTGGAGCTGGTGCAGAAGATTGAGACAGCTGCACGCAGGAGATTGAGCTTGCCAGGCATGGAGTCCGACATACATGAACCAAAGCCCATAATGTTAAATGAAATGGAGTA